AAATAATTGATGATTTCTTAAATTAAAAATGTAAATGGTAAAAGTAAAGTGGTAATTTTTGAGAATTTTAGATTGGAGATTTTCAAACTTTTAAAAATTAAAAATTGCCTTAATAGGCAGTCATAGGTAATATAATTTTAATTTTAGTTTATGCTATGATAGTGGGTCTCAAATTGCATAGAGATTTTTTTTGGCGTACACATTGGGTTTTCTTACATGCTAATATTAATGAATTTCCATTTTCGAAAAAGTTGAAAAACAATTAAAAGCGCAATTAAAAAACTCGTTGCAAACTACTTAAAAGAAACAAGTTAATTATAATTCACTTAATGCCCGCCCCGTGTGCTCAGACGACGCCGTGCAACAGAGACTGCTTCGTTAAGCTATTAATCATGCTAATATATTAGCCAAGTGAAATTCAATTTGAAACGCAGCGCGAGTACACAGCACCGTATGAGGCGCAGGGCGGCAGGACGCCAAGCAATATATAAGAAAAATTACCCGAAAATACCAACGAAACCGACAACACGAACAACCACAACAACATCAAGCTGCAGGCAGTGAGACGAGAAATTGCATTCGACGGGAACTCGAACAGCAGACAGCGACAGCGACAACAACAGCAACAGCAACAGGAGCTGCAGCTGGAGCTGGAGCTGTGCAGCCCCCGAGAACCCCAGGACGAGGAAGCCGCACCTTGCTAAGAGGTAAGCTGTAAGTGTGTGAAATGAATATTGGCTTATTTTTCAGCATATCCTTAAAGTGGTTTATGAGTGCTGTTCACCCACTAGCTACAGGTTGATGTGGGGCTCAAGCAAGTTTTAATATCGGCCAATTAATTACCAAACACGTTGGCGACCTTTTCAAATGAAGCTATTTTAATTTGAGCAAATGTTTGCCGAAAGTTCGAAAACAAAAAAATTATAGCCCGCAGTTTGGGGCCAGTGTCATTGCTCAGCAAATTAGTTGGCCTTTTGAACAAACAACAACAAGGACGCTTTGGGACCGAGGGCCTTTATTTCCAGGAAAAAAAAAAAAATGAAAACAAATGCCCTCAGCGTTATTTTGTATTTTGTATTTTGTAGTTTTTCCATTTGAAATGCAAAACGACGTTGGGCAACAGGACAGACGTCGAGTCGACGACGACAAGTATAACATTTAGGTTAATCATACGCCATGTCGTACGACGGCAAGGCAATGGCTCTAGACGCCTGCGTTGTTGACTATTTAGCATAAATTAGTAAGTTTTCACTCTTAGGGTTGGCCGGGGCGGAAGCTAAGCAAACACTGCGGCTCTGGGCCAACTTTTGGCATTGACGGAAATAAATTTCTTTGAAATGGCTGACTAGCCATTCTGGCCGCCATTTCTGGTTCGCTTCGCCGTCGTTGGCTGTCAGGTGAAGTGGTGCTAGTTGTCGCTTGCAGCATCTGCCTGCTGCTGGACAGCGCTGCCTCGCTGCCTCGCTGCCTCGCTGCCTCACTGCCTCGCTTCCTTATTATTTAAATCAATTTTAATTTAATCATTTTATCGTTCTAATAAATCATACACAAGGCGCCAGCCACGAGGCGACGACGAGCAGCGCCAGGGCTCTCGACAGTAGTCTATGGAGACTGCTCAGCTTGAATTGCCTTGGCTCTGCTTTGCTGGACTTGGCTTGGCTTGGCTTGGTTGGGCTGGATTGTTATTAACAATATGCGAACATGTAGCGAAAAGCTGCAGACAAAACAAAATTTAAATAGAAAATTAAAGCGCTGGCGACAATGACAAAGCCATTGAAGATGAAGATGATGATGATGATGATGATGGTGATGACGATGACGTTGCCGGAAACAAAAGAAAAAAGTTTCTTCATTAAAATTTTTAATGACTTTCTCTCTATTTGCGCAAGGTAATGAAAGTCAACAGAATAACTATGTTCATGCGCCATATTTATGTACATATAGAGGTATGAGCACAGCGCAGGGCCCATATTTACCTCAGATGCAAATGCGCAGCGTTTTCCCTGAAATTGTTGCCTAATTTGTTTTTCCTGTGCGCGATTTATTTAATTCAATGTCGACTAAATGCATTACAACATATTCGCTTTTGAATGCCCCACAAAATAAAATCAATATCTGACATTCTTAAACTAAATAGAGCGAATATGACAAAATTATAAAATAAACATTAAAGATTTATACCCCAGTTGGACATTTGAAGTGCGCAAACTTCTTCCTTTCTCTCGTTCTCAATGAATATGCTCTGAGTAAACATAGCAAGTTGACTGGCGTTCCATGACTCGAATAAATTTTCAATCTTACAAGTGGCAATAAAAGAACTTTTCAAGAAAATGAAAATAGAAGAAAACTCAAACTTTTGCTGCTTCAATGCATTTGATAATCACACTTTATTAACAATCAACATTTGGTGGAATAAATATATCATTTATAGTATATATAGATATGTCTATGTAGGATGTTAGCCAACATAATAATTTAATGTTTCTGTTGATTGTTTATGCTTATTAAAAATGCCCATCAACAAATATCTTTACATATTCCTAACATGCATGTTAAGTTCTTGCCTTAATAAACAACTATTGATAGTATGCAATATTCCATATATGTACATATACCGAAAATAGATGTGCTTTCTGTTACCTCTCAATTACCTTTGAGCACATGCGGAATATTTACAATTCCAGTGAGGAACATTCTATAAATGGAAATAAATCAAACATATGTACATGCACATACACGTTCAGCTGATTTCAGATCATTATGCTGAGGAAACGTTGGGAATTTAAGTAGCTTACTCCAAGCAACTTCAATTAATATAGGAAATTCCAGGAATAGACATTCGCTTGTGTTATTATTATTATTTGTGGCGCTGCATTAATGTGGTTGCTGTGCGCTGTATCATTTAGCTTTTATTGATTTTGTTATTCAGTTAGCTGGCACGCACATGGGAAGGTATCTAAAATGCCAACTAATTAAATCTAATTACCAAGTAATATTTCCCCACAACGCATGCCCTAACGCACTGCATACAGTTTCTTATCTGGCGAGTCATTAAAGCCGTGCCAACCAGCAGCAAGATATGTGTACCTCACAGATCTAATTTGCAATGCCAGCGGAAGATAATGGCAACACATATGTATATATAGGCTGGCATGCAGAAAATAGTTTTCAGATCGAACATATCCCATCTCGCATGGCATTCCACACACGCCCCTTACAGGGTATTAACTGGAGCTGGCGAATGAGCGCACATCTGAATAGATTAACAATTAAATGCCACACACAATTAACGCGTAATAATGCCCCAGAATAGGGCGCTGTAGCTGTATTTCAGCTGTACGCCGTATCCGATAGTGTGTGTAAACGTGTGTTTTACGACTTAGCGGCTGCCACGCCCCCTTCCCGGGCACAATGTATGTGTGCGACAACGCAACCAAAGCTAAGAGCTCGCTAAACTATTTATTTGCATATAAATATTTCAATACAAATGCCTTGCTCCACACACACATACATGCGCAAACAAACAAAGGGCGCGCACACACACTCACACATACACATGTCGTCACACACTTTCACAAAAGACATTCACTTGTGTTATTGGAATAAGTTGTGCCTGCTGCTGCCGCAATAGAGCTCAGCAAGAGCGAGTGCGGTGCAGGTGCAGGTGAACTGGAAACTGCCGTGTGGTGCTGTGGTGCTGTGGTGCTGGTCTCCATGGCCACACATCTGTAATTGAAATAGTTTGCCAGCCAACATGTGGTATGTGCGACAGAGACAAGGACAAAGAGAAAGAAGGAGGGAGGGTGGGAGGGAGGGAGGTAGGGAGGCAGGTAGGCAGGGAGGAGGTAGGAGTGAGCATAGGCTGAACATGTTTTCAATAAAACAAAAGGAAATCCATTTGTCACAGAAATAATTGTTTGCGCACCGGCCTGCTGCAGCGCTCAGAGTCCAAAAATAATAATGAGAGGGTCACACACACACACACACACACATACTCATATGCACACTCATGTGCTGTGCAAACGTCACAATTTATTTTTGTTGCATTGTTTTAAGCGCCAAATGCGATTCCAATTCAGTTTGCTTTACGCTTTTAACAGTAGGCGCCGCTTTGGCACAATGAAAGCAACACATGAGCTATACATTTCCTCTCTAATATATATAATGTATGTGTGAGTGTGTGTGTGTGCTGCATGAGCCTTTTGTTTCCCCACTTGAATGAAATACAAATCTAACGACCGAAAGCTTGACTAACAAACGATGCAATTCAAAATAACAATTTCCAAAATCAGTTGCATGACTTACAGCAAATGCAAATAGGCAGAGAAGGGATAAGAGGGCAACAGAGATAGAGAGAGAAAGAGAAAGAGAGACAGAGAGATAGAGAGAGAATGAGAGATAGAATGGCATACAAAACTAAATTGTTCAAGTTGGCTGTCAAAAATCGGGCCGTCATCAGGAAGCAGGACACATTTAAGTATCAACATGATGTACACAATGTTTTACGACTGTGCCGCTCATAAAGCAACGCAAGTGCAATTACCACAACAACAATAACGATAACAGCAACAGCAGCAGCAACAACTATTAACTCTGGGCCAATGTGCAACAATGTTTGACCAAGTTGCGTGTGTTGTGTGTGTGGCAGCCAAGCAGCGAGACACTTAAAATGTTTCAACCATTATCGTCGTCACAGCGCTGGGGTTGAAGCCACAATCTGTTTGAAATTTGGTAAAATGTTTGCAAAACTATTATAGCATACAGTTATCGTATCGATTAACTCTGAGTTTTCAACACCCAGCATGAGGCACATAGAGTTGAAATATTTTATAGATAAATGACAAAAATTCTGTAGACATTTTGCAAAAGTTGATCAGGCGCTCACACTTAAATCTAGACAAACATCCTTCATCAGAGTTCGTTTAGTTGGAAAGCAAACAAAGCTTTAAAGTCTCCTTTGACAGGCTCATCCCATTAGAATTCGTCTAATCTGAACTCGTACTCGGTCAGACAGAACAAACTTGCATAGTCGATGAGGGATATTCTAATGAAATGAATGCGAATTTATTTTGTAAAAACAAGAAAAATGCATAAATAGAGCAATGTGGATTTTTTATATTCCTATATTTATATAT